ACATTTTTATAAATAGCCATAGCCACATGCATATTCCTTTACGGAGGCAGTATGAATGAATCTTTCCACCTTAAATTCTATGAAGTACCTGAAAATAAACCTATTATATATACCTAAGAACAAAACAAGAGCAAAAGTATTGTCATATGCTATTATACAGATGCATAAATAGAAGGAGTGAAGATATATAATAAAATATTCTAAAACAACCATAAAATATAATGTGCAGTAAAAACAAATAACATGTAGTGTACATGAAACTAATTTGAACTTGAGCTGCATGACGCATTCATATATCAAATAAAACAACATCATTTCACTGGAAAAAATAACGACAGTGACAGCTGGAAAAATGAAAATGTGCTTGTGAATTGCTTTGTGTAGCTGTCATGTTGCCCACAAATGATGCTGCATGCAACTCACAACATGAAAAGCAGCCTAAGGCTTAAAGTGAGGTTGATAGTAGGATGTACTTTTTGTTTATGTCTGTATATGTGCTACTAGACCTCAAGCTCAAGCCAAACAAATCTGCAGAAATCCATAGAGAGCAGCAACAAAACCTCAGAAACCTTCACTCCACCGCCTCCAGCTGTCTGGGCCCGGTGCCAGCCAAGAGAAGCAGAAAACATCAGAAACACCTGAGGCTTCCTCTGCTGGCTTTGAGTCACAGAGCCGGTATCACCACACCCTGATGACGTAGCAAGCGCACACCGGCAGCTCCACCCACCGGCTTCCAGTTTCGCAGCCTGACAGAGTGGCAGGAGTTACAGTGCACTACTGTGATCGAGCGTTTACAGCTAAAATACCCATGAAAGCTATAGGACTCAGAAAGACCCAACGAACCGTCACGTAAACATTGGTCGGCATGTCGAGAGAATGGGGTGTAATCAGGCCCATATATCCTCCAGCTATAGCAACCTTGCCCACATTATTCAAGACAACCTGTCCAACCACTTTCCCTCGCTGAAGATCTTGATGGAAATGAATGCAGGCGCAGATTAGCGTGCGTACTGTAAGACGGGAGAACAGAGTGCTTTACTATCAAAGCCGTTCTGCAGAAATCCCACGTCCACTTAACTTTGGTATGGTGGCTCCTGTTCAAACAAGGCGAACAAAGCAGCAGCTGCCGGCTGGAACGAGGAATAGGCGGCTCGCTTTAGTAAGCTAGCATGTGTAACCACGGGTTCTGTGCCAAGATAAATGTTGCTGCTCGAGACCGTTCCCTTAGAGCCAGACCTCACACCAGGTGGCGGGAATGAGCCGAACGGAGCTAGTACACAAGAAAGTGGTTGGATATAGAACCATGAACTCTCAAAGGTTAGCGATTAAATGTTCTTTGCGTAGTGAAATCATTCTTCAGATCAAAGTATCAGTTGTATCATGAAAGGCTTATGAAGAAAGTGCTCTAGATTCTTTTTGAAAATGGTTCTCTATAGCACCCAAAAGGGTTTGCCTATTGTTACGGTGTCAAGCCTTTTCAAAGAGGTTCTTTAGTACCATCTTTAGCACATTCATGCACATTTTTCATCAATCCAAAAAATGCTTTCATGATATAAAGAAACTTGAATCGTGCAAATAGTCTTCTTCACTAAAGAACCCTTGAAGCACCATCTTTGTAAGATTGTAGGTGTAGTGCAGTTGTGTGGTCAGGGTTCAGTACTGGGCCAAAAAGAAAAAAAAATGCAGCTCTCGCTCCCCAGCTGGCACTTCACACACTGTCAGAAGAACCTGAAATATGGGGACACTTGACCTCTAGAGACCCCCTCCCAGACGAGGACCAGTTGGAAGGGTCAATAGGCCTCAGAGCTGAAGGATCACGTTCTAACTTGACACCGCTAAAAGGCTAGCCTGATAACAAGCATGGCCTGTTGATCATGCAGTGGACGTGTTCTTTAAAGGCTTCGCTCCATGACCACACAGCACGGTTCTACGTTAAAGACAAGGTGTCAAATTAGGTGTTTTAATTTTTTTTAATTAGGTTTTTAATTTTTAATTTTTAATTTTAAATTTAATGCAGTGTATTCTTTAGAAGTGATTGCTGTACTAATGCTAAGATACAGGTCAAAGAAGTAGCATGAATTAGCTGCACTTGTTAATTGCAAGGCATTTTGGGAAAGCAGCCCTTCATTTGTGCAATCTTGCAGCCTGACTCTGAATATTGCAGTAACAGAGGCGGGGCTTCCCAGCACTCCTTGCAGCATTGTTAGTTTTTGTCAATTAGCAGTTAATTTCACAGAGATACATTTCACATTGTTGTTATTCCAACCATGCTTCAATTAACTACACTCTTTAAAAAATATGGTTCTTCAAGGGTTCTTTAGTGAAGACAGTGGCTCTATATAGAACCATGAACACTAAATAAACCATTTGCATGCTTAAGTGGTTCTCTGCATGATGAAGTTGTTCTTCAGATTGATGGAGAATGTGTTGTATATAGTAGATGTGCTGCCGATGGTTCTATATAGAACCTTTTTGAAAATTGTTACAGTGTCAAGACTTTGTTATGTGATAAAGAATGAATTGTGTATGGTTCTACATAGTGCCAAAAAGGGTTCTGACATCGTCACAATAGCAGAACTCTTTCTGGTGCTACATAGAACCATTTTCAGAAAGGTTTTAGAACCATACACAATGCATTCTCCATTGATCTGAAGAATGCTCTCACCATACAAAGAATCATTTAGGCATGCAGATGGTTCTTTGAGTGTTCATGGTTCTATATAGAGCCATTGTCTTTATTAAAGAACCCTTGCCGAACCATCTTATTTAAGAGTGTAGCTCATCCTGTAAAGATATTTGGTTACTGCTGTCTCTGTAGTCTTAATGATCGGTTTGAGTGTATGTACCTGCTAATCCAGTTGATAAAAAGTTCTGCATTGCATGATTGAGTTTTTTTTTTTAATGGTATGCATGAAGGTACATGCACGTGCTAATTTAACTGTATAGTCTTTAGAAATATGGTGTTTTAATTTTATAATACAGTATTAATAATACAGCTGTAAATAAACAACAAATTCATGGAGAAATTGCTGCAGAAAATCATTAATTCAATAATTTCAATAATCAATCAATCAATAATTTTACATGAAATTAATGATGAAAAGCATCTTGAATTTATATATCTACATTTGTATTCTCATAGAGTTGATCTCTAAGTTTTGCATTGATTACAATGATTGCAATCTAAATGTGTTTCAAAACACAAGGTGTAAAGCTTTAGAAATAATATAAAAATAACTCAAATAAGAGTTTCTGAGTGAACAAAGAGGCTCAGTGTGAATGTGAACTTGCCCAGTTGAGAAATGCAGAGTAAATGCAGAAAGCTGTGTGCTGCGATATATGAGCAGAGTGGCCTGGTTCAGCTGGGTGTGGTGAAACAATGGGGACAATGTATGGACATGTATTTAAAGGGAACTATACACTCCTAAAAAAGAGGGTTCTTTAGTAAAGAAAATGGTTCTCTATACAACTATGAACACTCAAAGAACCCTTCTGGGTGCTATATAGGACCCTTTTTGAAAAGACTCTTTAATATAAAACCATCTATAGCACATTTGTGCACATTTTCCATTAATCTGAAGAACACCTTCATGATACAAAGAATCCTTTAATCATGCAAAAGCGTTCTTTGAGTGTTTATATTTAGATGGAAATTTATATGATTTACAGAAACCCATTACTTGGATTTTCATATTTGTAGGTGAGTCTGTGTTTATAAAAGTGTTATTATTGTGTTTCAATGCTGTGTGACTTGTACAGGATTGGGAAGAAAGCTGCAGTTGTCCGTCTTTGTGGAGAGGGGTGAATTATTTTTCTCTTTTCACCTTTCATTGCTCACTAGCAGCTCAACAGAGTCACAACAGAGTTAAAGGGAAAAATGTTCTATTTGATTATATTGATAATGAATAAGTCCACTTCCATTCTGCTGGTGGAATGGCCTCTAGAGGGCACTACAAAAAGAGACTATGTGGTCTCTCAAGCACAGTTTGGCAATTTTCTGGCAGAAATCAGTAGCATTTGCAGCCCATGTTCAACATTACTCACTACAAAGATTTTCTTTTTTACACATGCAGTCAGTTTCCCCCTTACTATCACTTGTTATTGTATTTGGAATACAAATACTCACTGAGATGAGTATTTTTAATTAAAAAAATACAAGATATTAAAAATACAAGTGGCACTTTTAACCCCATACATGGCCCAAAGTTTTATTACACATTTCTATAGGATAAGAATAGCTCAGACACTTTTCATTGAATACTCTCAGGTAGTAAACTGTCACTGGGGTAGTGCCCCTCTTGTCACTGGGGTGAAACCCTCAAGGGTACATCTCAGTACCTTTAGTCAGGTAACATAACTGTGCCATAATCCACTGAAATTACACACCCCGTCTCATCTCCAAGATTTTTTATTTTATTGCTCTGTTTTAAAACTTTAGGTTATGAAAAGGTACAAATACATACTTTTCACCTGGAAAAACTTATTTAAGGTGCACAATTGGTCCTCAAAACCTTTCAGGGAACATTTACATTGTTTGTACCTTGATAAACGAAAAATCTACCTGCCCAGAACCTTTATTATTACAGTGTAGTTACTGAATAATACGCCTTGGTATATAATAAGACTGGGATTTCAGGGGGTTAAACAGTGTAAAAACATACAAACAACAAAAGTTCTTAATCCAAGGACTTCTTATAACAGCAACTGCCCAATTTCCTGGCGGTTCCTCTTCATGTATGACCAACTACTTTGCATTTCAGTCCTCAGGAAAACCACTTAGGCTAACCCAAGCTAGTGCAGGTGTAACGACATCGGTCACTCGGTGGGAAATGTCAAGTGCATCAATCCCATGAATCATCCCTTGAGTCAAACCTAAACAAAGCTCCCCTTTCCTCCACTACCCTTGGCTCCACACCACTGGCTTTTACAGCCTATAAAGCGGAGAGGAAGGTGGGGCTGGGCGAGAAAGGGAGAGAGGGAGAGAGAGAGAGAAGGAGGGAGGGAGGCACTAGGACCTGCTGGATAACCCTGGGAAAGCTGAGGGAAACAACTGTGGGACTCAAAAACTTTCAGAACAATCAATTTTCCTACAGGGGAGAGTGGGAGTAGAGCGGGGTGAGCGGCACATAACCTGGATAAGTCATCCTTAAAAGAGCTGACGGGATACGGCTTTCTGGGATAAAAAAACCTGCGAGAGAGCTGGACTACCACCAACTTTGGGTTTTGGGACCTTTTTTGTGGTGAAAGACGAGAAACTCTGAGGGTGAGGAAGAGGACACGGGTTCCAAAGGTGAGTGAAAGGTTGCTGATCTGCGTACGGGTGGAACGTTTCAGGTTATATGCGCATATTCATGTTGGGACATACCTGTCAAGGCAAAACATGTGCTCTCTAACCTGAATACATATTGCGTTATCAGGAAGACCTGAGATGCAGCAAGAATGCAAACTTTGCAACTATTATAGTGATCTATATGATCACTGTTAGAACAAAACTTTGTATTTCCAAAGTGTATCTTTACAAAAGAAGGGGTAAAATGTTCTTAACTTCTGAAATTAGTCAAAATAGAACTATTTTATTGTAAGTAATTTGAGTAATTTTGGTGTAAAGGACAGCTAGTGTTTTGAAAACAGTGTTAAAAATGTATAAAATGACAAAGTTTTGTTCTGAAAGTGATGCTGAAAAGCTGATAAACCACACGGTGAGTCGGTGGAAGGAAAAAGTTGACAGCATTCCCAAAACCGCCAAACATTCATAGATGAGAAACATCTGATGTAAGCAGCTAAACATACGAATACATAAACATATGAAGAGGAACGTCTGGAAAAAAAAAGGAACGACAAGCAGTTTTTAAGTGTGTTTATTTGAGTAATTTGAATAAAATCCTGTGGTTTAGACGAGAATAATCTGCGGTCTCATGAAAACTCCCTCAAATATTCGAGCCCTGCTGCTGTACGTGTGCGCTCAGAGCGGAGATGGTCCGCAAAGGTGAAGGGGGATCTTCTTCTCAAAAGTTCTGGGAGAAATTATCCAAGGAAATGTGAGACATTCTGTTGTGGGAAGCGCACACAGTGCAGTCCTGTTAAAATTTGAATTTGATGAAGTTGTTGTGTCTTGTTTTGTGGAAGGAAAGTGGTTCTATCGCATTTTTTAACTGTTTGTCAAATTTTGACTTCGAAACCAAAACAAAACAAAACAAAAAAAGAGGCACAGACTCAAACCTGCAAACTGTCTGCAGGTTAAGAGAGGAGCGTCTCAGCCTCTCAACCTTCTCAGAGAATTTTTTGTCCCTCTGCTTTTGCCCCCAAGGGAGAAACCCCTGAAACATCAGCTCTCGCTTTCTCTCACTTTCCTCAACCCCCCGTCTCTCTCTCTCTGTCTCTCTCTCTCTCTCTCTCTCTCTCTCTCTCCATCTCCTCCATAAGCTGCTCATGTTACACAACCAGAGGGGCTTGCTAGCGCTGCCTTGTTCCTCCTGCAGACACGGGACACGTTACAGACTTTTATCATTTTCATCTGGGCGGGGTTAGCGTGGTTAGCATGTCAGACACCGAGCAGCAGGCAGAACCCAACACCAGCAATGAAGGAGGAAAAAATTCAGACTCACTTCATTCTGATGGTGCCCTGAAGCTCAGCTGGGCAAAAGATCAACCTGTAAACAAACTGTCTGGTGAAAAATCCCCAGTGTTGACCTGACACCTGTGAATGAGTACATTCTTAAAAAAACAATGGGTTCTTTGAGCATACAAGAACCAATTCTGGTTCCCAAGAAATGGTTTGTAAGTGTTTTCTCTTAAAGGTTCACTCTTTAAAAAGATTCTTCAAGGGTTTTTTTTTTCTTTTGTTAGTAAAGCAATAGTTCTATGCTAAAGTTCAACTATTGTCTTGTCACTCAAAGAACCATGGAACCATGAACATTCAGAGAACCATGTGCATGCTTAAAGGGAACCACATACAATACATTCTCCATCTGTCCAAAGAACCATTTCACCATCCAAAGAATGATTTAAGCATGTGCATGGTTCTTTCAGTGTTCATGGTTGTATGTAGAATCATTCCCTTTAATAATGACTTCTTGAAAAACCATCTTTTTTAGGAGTGTATGAAATAATGTAAAGGTTCTTAACCCTTTCATGTAAATATGACAAAATGATTAGTTCTTTGCACAGTTAACCGGTTCTTCTATATAATGGAAAACTTGTCTTGTCTGGATTATTAAAGAATATTTAAATAATGGCTCTATATAGCATCAAAAAGGGTTCTGCTATTGTTACTAGACCAATTATAGGAGGTTCTTCCATACCCTCACATTAAGCGATTCTTTAAGCATTTGAAAGTTAAACTTTTCTGCACTCTTCAAAAAGAGGGTTCCTCAAGAGGTCCTTAGTAAAGAGTTTTTTAGAACCATGAGTTCTATGTAGAACAATTTCATGCTCAAATAGTTCTTTGCATGGGAAAATTGGTATAGAGTGTAGGAATTTTGCATTATGTGGAGGTTCCTCTTTAAAATTGTTCTTCACACTCACACATCTAATTTACAAAAATGGTACTCTAATCAGCCAACCTTTGAAAGGCTTTTAAGGAACTGAAAGTGGTTCTTCTATGGCAGGACTGCCCAGAGCGGGCTAGTGAGGACGTTTGATTTGGCCTGCCAGAAAGTTACCTTAACGCCACCCAATGAGAGAACATACATTCTACTACATACTATACACAACTTTTTAAATTCAGATTTTTTGTTTTTTGTTTTTTAGCAGCAAAATATAATATAATATACAAAATAATAGTGTTAAAGCGTTTGAAGTCTACTTACCTATTTTATTTGTTTTCTGTTTAACCCTATTGGAGCTGGATTAGTTTGATCAGAGTTCCGCTAACGTAATCTGTAAAATATGCGTAATTTAACTGGAAAATTCATACAGGATAAAACATCTGTATAATTTCCCTAAATTGCCTCAAATAGCCTGGATCCAAACACCACTGCAGACGTTTACATCATCATTATGCGACAGGCACCACACTGAACAATAACCGATCATTAGTGACACGCTGTGCAGCTGAATGATATACAGACTAGAATTAGGTTAGTAAAGTGGGTTCATTCAGCTTACCAAATGCCACCCGTTGAGATTGCTGAAAGGATGAAGCTAAAGTTACAACCACTGCACCATATATAAGGTGGAACTTGAAATATGAGGGGTCAGAATGTAACTGTTTCACTAATTAAGGTGGAACGGGAAAATTCAAGCAAGAAGCTGGCGAAGAAGGAGTCAACTCCAGCTTTATAGAAAGTTTAAGTCAAAGCAGAAAAAATAATTTTTCAATTCCACCTTAAATGGTGCAGCAACTACATTCTGGTGCCTCAGTAACTGCTGCAACATTTAAGGTGGAACGGGAAACTTGAACTGCCAGAATGTAACTGCTGTACCATTTAAGATGGAATGGGAAAATTTGAACAAGGAGCTGGTGAATAAGAAGCCGAAGTAGAAAGCTGAATTTTCATGTTCCACCTTAAATGATGCAGCAGTTAAATTCTGCCACCCCAGTACCTGCTGTAACATTTAAGGTGGAACAGGAAAACTGAGGCGTCAGAATGTTACCGCTTCATTATTTTAGGTCCAACAGGTAAATTGAGATGCCAGAATGTAACGGCGTCACCATTCAAGGTTGAACAGAGACATTTGAACAAGTAGCTGGTGAATAGGAATCTTCTCCGTTTTCTATTTGTTATTACGTTACTGAGATGTGGATTGGAGCAGGACTGTTGTTACTGAGGAAGTCTGAGTTTGAAGAATTATAGGAAGTAATTCATTGTGGAATTATATTTTTATGGATATCTTAATATGGCCATAAATCCAGCTGGACGCAAATTGACACTAAATATTAGTTCCACAATGGGGATTGTGTTGTAAAGGGTTAGGGTTAACAATTAGGTTTATGGTTTAGGGTTTAAGGTTTAAGGTTAAAGTTTAAGGTTTAACATGAAGCTACATTGAAAGATACTCAGTAATGTCAACAAAGTGAGCATCTAGTGGACCATCCAAGCCAAGTCTGGTTTGACGGTTCAGCCTGCTAAGACAGTAAAGCCCCAGTGAACAGGCTAAGAACAATTCTGCCAACATCTGTAAAGTATAAAGCGTCTGCACAGCCATGAGCGGCGGTGAGCGCAGTGTTTATGGGGATTTCTATCCTGTAAAAACTGATGATGGTGTCTTTTTTCCCGCTTACACGTACACATGCACACTTTTCAAAATGGTTTTAATAAACCAGCAGTTTGCAATGCGTTATCGTTCCCAATAAAAAGCTTTTAAATCTTGACATTTTTGCTAAAAGTCCTACATCGGGAAGAAAGCCAAAAGCCACGCCCATTTTCTCCCTTTCTTGTGATGTCATACTTTAAACCACTGTTGGACCAAAAGAGATAGAATTATAGTTCTACTTAAATCCATTTTCATGCTTAAATGTTTCTCTACATGGCAAAATGGTTCAGTCTCTTGATGGAGAATGTGTTGTGTATGGTTCTATGTCCAAAAAGGGTTCTACTATTGTTACAATTTAGTGCTATATGGAACACTTCTCAAAAAAGTTATTTATAGAACCATATATAACACATCCTCCATCAATCGGAAGAACCATTTTATCATGCAAAGAACCTTTTATTCATGCAAATGGTTCTTTGAGTGTTCATGGTTCTACAACATTTTTCTAAGAGTGTGCAGTAAAGTGTGACTGATTTTTCTTACTTAATTGAAAAGCAACAGAATTTGAAAGAAGACAAGCTGCCATCAGCCTTTGTCCAAGCTCTATGTAGAAAGTCGCATGCAGAGTTCAACCTGTGGTCTCGCTGACGGCCTGCGGCTGCTGTTAGCCCAGCGTGCAGGGAAAGCGAGTAGGACTCTTCAAATTGCGCCGATGCTCTCCCGTATGGAGGCAGATGGACAGTGCTATTTTCCTCCTATACAATGATGTCTGCTATTATTATTCATGAGGTGTCTCGGGTTTCCCATTGAGCCTGAATTAAAGGTTCCTCTCTGTAGATGTGTGCTCACACAGCGTAGCGTGCTGCAGCGGTAATGAGAGGTAATGAGGTTCTAATGAGGGCAGGTGGGACACTGCCAGCAGCTCCCCTGAGAGTTTAAGCCATGCCAGGTTACACTACACCGTCCTGAACCACATTTACCTGCAGCAGACACATGTTTAACACAGAGGCCTGAAACACTGAGCACCAATAGGATGGGATGTGGACATTATTCCTTATAGCGAATCTAGGAATTCTCAAAAAACTATGCAGAAAC